TGGATGATCCGTACAAGGGAGAGCCACAAAAGGGAGTTGCTTTGAATGCAATGACAGGAAAAAGACTTGGACAACCGGCTCACGATATCCTTCTTGCTGTGGGTATCATGCGGGGCTACACTTCACCCATGTGGGTGGCGGAAAAGCAGCTCAAACATCTGAATTTGGAGGTACGCGAGAGCCGCAAAGGTGAGGGTGTACTAGCTCCTAATATGACGGGATTGATTGTCTCTCTCTCACAGCTTCCAAAGGACGCACAACAGATGTTATTAAAAGAGCTACGCGAAAACCACTCCGATGCCTTTGGGTTTGATCTGTACTTTCTTTACAATGTAAATGGATGGGAGGTAATGCGGTCACGGGTTCTTGTTAAGCATATGGCGGCGGTGAACGATTCCCAATATCCATACCATTTTGTTAATTTGCGAGATTTTGGACTGCAAAATGTGAAATTTGCCGATTTTGCTGGAGAGTGTCAACGGAAATTAAAACCTTTGGGCCCAGAAGTGCTGGTTACAGAGACAACACAGGACGACAAAGCCGATGAGAATAACAATGAGGGGAGAGGAGGACTTGCCCTTCAGATTGCTCATTTCTCACGCGGACGTGGTTCAAAGGGAAAGGGTGTTTCGACAAAGGTTTTTTTTGCGGAGGACGCCACACTTCGAAGATACTACAACGCTGTGTGCTTGTCGGAACCCCATTTGGCCGTTCCCGCAGTGCGTTCAGTTGCCATTCTAAATGGCAAACTTATTGGTCGCCGCGACGAGGCCAAACTGCGTTCCTTTGCTCTCAAGCACAAACTTTCTAGCCCTATTTGGGTGACACCGATAGGTGCCAGGCGCATGGGAGTCGGAATCGAGAAAAAGCATCTCAACAAGTTTGTTGCGATTGGTGCGGGGGCAGTGGAAGATCAGGGCGACGATGTAGTCGAAGAGTTTTACAATTTGGATGATTTTGCCGACCCCAATGAGATTCTTTCTATTTTTCCAAAGAAAAGTAAATCGGCGCACTTTTTACTGGACTCTAAATGGCGTCCTGTTTTGGGTAAGCAACGTCAGGCTTACCTGACTTCCCTGAGGCGTTCGACACCGCTTTGGATTTCAGTGAACGAGTGCCTCATGTCAGGGTTTGAGCCCAAGCCAGAATCTCAGTCCTTTTCGTTTCCGTCAGAAAAGAAGTCAACTGGCTCTTCTGGAGGTATAAAACTGTACAATTCTCAGCTTACAACTGACCCTGTTCGGGTTATAGGGCTAGCCACGGTATACACAAGGCCTCAAGGCCACACTCTATAACACTTTTATGTTGGCGGATTTTTTTGAATGTAAAATTCATGCAGTGCATCTGCACATTGATTTTTCCTCTTTTTTTTTCAAGAGAACCAGATGTGTTTTTGAAAGACCGGTGGAGGAAAAGGATAGAGAACGTCTGTCCGTGTGTGTGTGTTTGTTTTTGTGTGGTGAGAGGGACAGGACTGTATAGGTTTAACTGAAGAGGCGCGCGTGCGCAGAATGACAAGGCAATAAAAACGCAATATATTTCTTCCCAATGAATAAAAATGTGTCTTTTTTTTCTTTACTACTTTTGCAAAAAAAAAAAAAAAACAGGAAAAAAGAAGGCCGCCGGTCTAGCCTAGAGAACCTTGTTGCTGAGGAAATCAGAAACGAGTGGTTTCTTTCGACGTAAAGGTGTGTTACTGTCTTTGTGATTGTGCGAATCAGTGGACTGTGCGCTTTCCATGTGAAGACGCAACTGCAAAAAGTTGTCTCTTAGGTCGCTGGTGTCTGGAACTCTATTTTTTATTTTTATTTTTTTGGGGCACAATTCTACCGTCAATGACATCCGTTTCCGCACGGCATGTCATCAAAGATCAGCGATTGGGCGCCTAACAGTATACAAGGAGAGAATAAGGGAGAAACAGGCTCATGCTTTTTTCAAATCTTATTTGCTCTCGCGCGTCACCTGCTCAACTTGTGATGCTTTTGCTGAAATGAGCGCTCAGAAACTCCTGCGTCCCTTTGCGACGATGCGAAAAATGGGGCCCTTGTACGGGGAGATGATTTGACAGTTGGAACCAGCGGGTAGGAGGGTTAGTGTTATTTCCAGGTGATCTTTTCCCGGTGGTGAGCTGGTGGACACCTCCCATGGGCGTTCTATCCGGTTGGAGCAGATCATCCTTCTTCTTGGCGAAAATATTCTGGCGAAACCGATTGTTGGGTCTCGTCGCCTAACTGGTGAGAGGAATGATAGAGATCACTTGACTCAGCGATCTGGGGAAATGGAGCTCCCCAGCAAATTTGACGAAATTTGTGTTTTGAGCTGTTTTGAGAAGTTGTGATGCATTACACTCAGGGGGAGCATGGTTTCTGCGTTACTCGCAATATTGCCCGAAATCGTGGGAAAGGTTGGGGGAGCAATTGCTCGAAACATTTTGAGTCATTACTAGAAAAACTGGGTCTGATAAAAGAAATATTTTTCTGAGGGAACTGCAGACAAGTGAACGAGTTGGGGAGGAAAAGAAGACATTTTGTGTGGTTTTCTGGAAGAGCTGATTTTTGTCGGCCATCTTTTGCATAGGCGAAGCTGCTGTTTGGAGGAGAGGCTGTGTGTGAAGTCGGTATCTTCAGGTTGGACTTATCGATTAGGAACTACACTCTTTCTTTGCGACTCTGATATTGATATATATATTTTTGCCTTCATGGGTTTACATATTTATATATGCATCTAGTAGGGGTGATCGCTGAGCCATTAAAGGAACAAATGTCCTTTTTTTTGGAGGGAAACGGGAGGACGGGAGGGTGTGAGTGGAACTGAGTGGTATATGAGCGACATTCTGATTCCCCACTGCTGCCTTGGGGGCAACGTCGCCTGTACCTGTAGTTGAAAAGACAGCTGAGAGCAATGGCAACCACTTCTTTTACCGTTTTATTTTTATTTTAAAGCACACACCAACCAGCCCCTTCAGTGTTCTGGAATACATGCTGGTGGCCAAAGTGCGGTGCGAGAAATGTGTGGTTTCAAGCAGCATCAGTACAGCGGTGGCTCCACTAAATACGCTATGGTGCCATTCGCTGGCGATGTGGCGAGATTTACTGTGAACTTCCTTAAATTTCTATTTCTTCTTTCTACATGCCTTCTTGTAAAATCCCCTCGTTATGCCTCTCTCTGCGGCTCACCGTGGCTAATTATAGGCCGGTTCGAAGGCCCTTCATTCACCTGCTATGAGTGGGCGTGGTTCAAAGACTGGCCGAGAACTCTCGGATTCCTTGTTGCTACTACAATGTGGGCTAAGGGCCTTTTTGCCTTCTTTTCCAGTACACACCAATCAGCCCCTTCAGTGTTCTGGAATACATGCTGGTGGCCAGAGTGCGGTGCGAGAAATGTGTGGTTTCAAGCAGCATCAGTACAGCGGTGGCTCCACTAAATACGCTATGGTGCCATTCGCTGGCGATGTGGCGAGATTTACTGTTGATGAGAGTACTCACCAAAACTTCTTTTTTGTGTTGTTTGCCGTGATTAACTGTGAGAGCTGTTTTGATGCATTCTTTTGTCTGGTGCGTGGGTGTTTTCTGCCTCTTTCCTTTCCTCGCAGCTTTAAAGAAAATCAAGGAAGAAAATAAAAAAGTTGAGAAGGGGGATAAGAAAGTAGTTTTATCAATTTTTTTTTTTTTTTTTTTTTTTGGGTGCTGCAGGTCTATTTGTCGCTACTGATGCGTCTCCGCGATATCCTCATAGTATGCGTTGCCATAATTTTCTGCATTTTTGGCTGGTCTCAGGAGGGCGGTCTCATAGTTTGGCGGAACTTTAAGATTCCCGTAACCGACTCTGAGGTCAGTAAATATGTTATGAGTAAACCCGTGGTGCTGGATTTAATGGGTGACGGACGACCGGTGTTGCTCGCAAGCACAAAATATGGGTCTTTGGAGCTGTTCAAGACACATTTGGCGAGAGTCAACTCGGAGAACGTGTTTGTTTCTATCCGTCCCAGTAGTTCACGGAAAACACTCTTTCGGATCGTGGCCATTGCTGCTGGAAAACTCAGTAGAACGAGCAAGGAAAACGCAATTGTTGTGATATCGGACGACTTTAGACTGCGTCGAATTTCGCCCCACGATCTTACGGAGGTGTGGGATGTTCCTTTGAGTGCCTCGTGGATCGAGACGTATCATGCCTCAGTTAGCGTTGTTCCGGAGCGGATTCACGAGCAGGATGAGGGCACAGTTCTCGTGGCAATGCAGGTTGCAGGTCCGAATGGGACGGAACTGACGTTGTATGCTGCCTTTAATGGTGCCGATGGCCAGGCGCGATGGCACTACACATCGGATGTAGAGAATTCCATTGGAGAGGTACTTGGCGAAGAGTGTAACGATGGGGTGGAGTGTCTCCCTCCCGAGAATGATACATCACTGAGGCGCAATTCCATCTTCAAGAGCCAGGTGGTCAAAAATCAATTTCGAGCACAAGAAAAGCCATGGACTTTTTACCGTGAAGCGATCATTACGCTTCTTCCACACCGTTATTCTCACCCATGGGATGAACACATTCATCCACATGTTTTCTTTCATGCCAAGAACAGAAAGAAGCGTTCCTTCCGGGCGGGAAACAGAGTGGTGGTAAAATATAAGGATCGGCTTATTCGAATGAACAAGGAGGACTACGGAGCTCTTGGGGAGAGATTGGGTGTTATGAATATGCATGGTAATGCGGCAACTACTGTTAATAAAAGCCGTCGTCGGGCTGCGAATGCGATGATCTTTCACAGTAAGAATGGCATCGAGGTGATTCATCTTTATACGGGGAGTGTGATTACGAGATTGGGACCGCTAAAATCCTCAGGGGTATATTACCACGACATCAACGACGACTTTCAAGTTGATGCCATTGGGACGCAAATAGGACCACGGATGGAAATGCACTCCCGTCATGGTGTGGACTTGATTGACGATTGCCTTGGTGTAATCCACACGGGGATTCCTGTAGCGGAGGACCAATTGTTCAATGCGACAATCTGCGACACAGAGGGATTTTTTGGTCGTCTAGACCTTATTCACCATTTTATTGATAATGATATACGAGGGGAGGACGCTCCCCACGCACTCAATACCCTTGAGCTCATTGGAAGCCGCAGCGTTCTGTCGAAGAATACCCGAAGTGTTACACCACTCGTAGTGCAGCTGCACACAACGAAGGGCCGGGATTTGTTCCAGGTAGAACGGCACGCAGTGTTCATGATTGACTCTGGATTGGTTACTTGTGTGGATCCTTCGCGTCGTCGGGTGGTATGGCGTTCTCAAACGGCTGCCGGTTTCTACGGTCTTCGTGAAGCAGCTGAGGCAGATGCAGGTATGGCAGGAATGTCTGCAAAGGAACGAATGCATCGTGCAGTCTCCTTTCCGCATTTGGCTGCGTACAGCTTTTACAGAAGCCAGGACGACTCTGTTATGAGCGTCAGTGGATCTGAACGGTATCTTCGCACGGATCCATTTATTATAGCAGTAGGGGAGAGGTATATGTGTATTCTGAGCACCAGGACTGGTCGTGTGCTGCGAACGATAGCGCTGGAACATCCTCCTGTGGCCCCTGTAATTGTGCGGGACCTAAATGGTGATGGGATAAACGACATTATTGTTGTGACAAAAGAAGGGATTTACGGCTTTGTCGTGGGGACGCAGACGTCGTCAGACACAGTCACAGCTCTGATGATTCTCATGGTGGCTCTCCTGGCAGTTCTTTTTGTTGTACGTGAGATGAGTGTGGCGGATGAAAGCAAGACGGAATTTCTTCCCACCAGCGTGCATGACGCACACCGGGCAGCACACAAGGTGGCGAGGCGCGCCACTGACTGATTGTTGCTTCATAGGAAGGGTGACAAGGAGGGAAGCCATTCTTCTTTAGAAGGAATTGAAGTGCGATGAGTTGCAGGGTGTTTGGAGGCTCTCATTTGTTTTTTTCTTCATTTTCTTTTCCCTTTTATGTTTTTTTTTTTTTTCTTGTCTTCGTATCGCTGATGAAAAAGAAACACTATTTTGATTTGTCTCTTTTTTTTTTTCCTTTTTATGTATGCATAATTTCTGCCTTTATCGCTTTTTATTCATTGTTTTTACTGTTGTTGCGTCACGGTGAAGGGATTTACTCCGACAGTGAAGCTTGCTGGCAGCAGCACCATTAGTAACCTGACTGCCCATTAATCTCTCCATAAGGCACGATAACAGCGAGAGGCATCGTCACCTAATTGTGCTGCCTGTCGGCGTGTGTAATTGTGTGTCCGTGTCCGTGTCTGTGTGCTTGTTGAACG